CCAACGTGGCATTTTGATAGAACAGGGAAAATGGTGGGGGATGATCTATAAGGTATTTGAAAGTGGTGCTTTAATCACACTATTCAGAAAAAAATTGTTCATGCAAAAATATTTTAGCTCCAATCAAATGAATTATATGCTTTATCACTTAGTAATAGGTATGTCCATTGTTGCCTTAACTCAAAGATTAAATAATCATCCTTGAATCAGTCAGATATGCATGGTTTCTAGCAAAGCACACTGTCATTTTAGCTTTCATTTTTTGAGTCAGAAGCAACTCTCCCATGCCATGTTTTCAAAAGATGGGCCCCAGGCTATTCCAAAGACTTTTCCTGAAACTCTAGGTTGATTCCTATCTCTGTACCAACAGTAACCGTGGGTTGACTTGTTTTTAATAATTACAACTAAAAGCTGGAAGAATTTTTTTAAGGGAGATGATATCAATGTTGATTTTTTTCATTTACAATTGAACTAGATGACTAAACTAATTTTCACTATTTCTGTGAAGGGACTTACTCTGTATTTTAAGATTCAGATAAATCATGCCACTTAAAAACAACTTTCTATGTGTCATAAATTCTTTTGGTGTGCTATAAAGCTGTCAACTGCTGGGCAGACAGGCTTTAGCAAGAACCAGCATAGATGTCTTTCAAACACTCATCTGCTTCAAATGTCACTTTCTGTGAACTATTCCTTCGCTATTTTTTTTTTAAATGCAGGGCAGGTGATAGGAAGAATGGAACAATTTTACTAATGAGTGAGAACAAACTGAAGTGCTGGGTAGATTTCACAGTGGTGAGAGGAAACCACACATGTTTGTACCTGCACACCCATGCACACCTCTGCTGGAAGGAAAAACACCTTGTTCTGATGTCGCCCCTTCGGTTCCATATAGCTTTATTCTGTGCGAGGAAATCCTGCTGGAATTCAAAAGGCAGCTACAATTTTTTGGTGCCATAAGCCTTTGGTTGTCATAGGTTATTTTGGGGCTCAGGAAGAAGGAAAATCTATTAATTCTACTTAAGGCAGGCTCACATGCATTGGACTTTCCTGGCCCGGGAATCCAACTCAAACTCCAGAAACTCACATTCCCATCAGGGAGGAATGAAGACACGCAACTGGCCCAGAATAGTGCCCGGTGTTTTCTCATCCTGTTTATTTTGCTTGTCTTTCTACTCACATTAGATTGTAAGGTTGCCTTTGTAAGGGGTTTTTGCCTGTTTTGCTCAGTGTTCTGTCACTTACACCAAGATTGTCCTCTGGCACACATTAAGCCTTCAGTACACACTTGTTGAATTGGACAACCTACCATTTACCCAGCATCCCCGAAGAGGTCCCCTTATGCTTGAGTTTATCACCGACCTCAAAGTACTCCCAGATATCATAGGGGCTTCTCTGCTGTGATCTCTTGTGTAGATAAAGCTTTCTAAGTGAAGTTGCTATAAAATACAATTTATAAAAAATAATTTAAACTTGCATATTCTTATTTTAAGAGCCTGCGTTAAAATCAGTACAGCACTTTGTTCTGTGAGAGGAGTAGTAGGGATGTGAGTTTTAGCTAATGCTATAATAAAACGCATAATTTATAGCTCAGGTGCTACAGAACAGTGCTAAATCCCAAAATGATGGCAAGGTCCAATTTCTTTGTAACATTTCTCTACCCTAGAAAGTCATACAAACGGTGTGAAAAAGTGTGAAGAAGTGTTAACATAAGCAGGCTGGCTGGAGGCTTCTGTCTTTATTAGAACCTCTGTACATAAGGTTGATGCTTGGCTGATGTTTGGGAACTTGGCACTTGACCCAGTCCCTAACTGATAAAAATGGTTCATTTTACTAAATTGTACAAACAATGCGGTTAATGCAGGACACCTGCTTTCTTTATTTGAGTTTTGAATTATAATTGTTGCTGGGTGGATGGTACCTACACAACCAGCAACTGGTAAAAACCTGGGACACTAAGTCTTTTTCCCAGGGTAAAAGTGTTATACACACTTCCCTGAATTTTTCATTGTGTAGGAAGGGGCACCCATGTCTTCTCACTAGAGGGAGAAAGGTCTGAAAGCCTCTGCTTGGATTCCTCCAGATGCTGCCTGCATCTTTTTCTCTTGTTGATCCTGTCATGTGTATGTTCTTTGTAATCGACCTTAGCCATGAGTACAATTGCGTGCTGTCCTGTGGTTTCTTCTAGTGAATCCCTGAATGTGTGTACAGTCTTGGGGATCCCCAAGACATGTACAATAGCCAGCACCAGGACCTTCAGACCTGGCAAAGCAGTGTCTAGTGATTGAGGTAGTTTGACGTGGGCCCTGGGTGTGTGCTGAGGACACAGTAGAGGAGGCATGAACTGGATAATCTTCCCTAGTCTCCTGGTGAGTTTTTTCCCCTTGGTCAGCCAAAGAGCATACTATTTCTATCCACAATAAAATGAAAGCAGAAAAGCAAGCATTTATCAGAATGTGTAGTCCTCAGACCAGAGCTGTCAAAGCCCCCACCTTGGGTTTGGATAACTGACAAGCTGTCGGTGTACCTTCTGTCTCAAGGAAGGAGAAATAATGGGCTCAGATATAACTCTCCCATTCCATCAAAAGAAAGACCTAGCTTTTGACATTCCTAGAAAGGAACCCTCTAGAAAGGAATATGGAGAGCCAATCTCTCCTTTTCTTTCCTTCTCTTTTGTTTTGTATGTAGTACAGGGGTGGGGGTTAATGGTGTGCAGAATTATTTGGATTTTTTTCTAGAGTTTTATATTGGGCTTTCTGTCTTTCATGCTTTTCTCTTTTTCTTTCTTGAATTCCTTGGATTAGTTCCTCTCCCTAATCCCATATTCATCCTTGATATATTCTCCTGCTATCCTGTAATGGCTACCTTAGAAATTTCTTTTTTTTAAAAAAATGTTCATTTATTCAAGAACCGGGCACAGGCCAGATGTGTGGGAGGGTGAGAGGATTCACCAGAGACAGAGCGGGAAACAGAACAGGCAGACAGATGGAAGACACTGCTGAGGGGAGCAGCAGGAGAGACAAGAGAGGTCCCCTGCGCCATGTGGGACCGTCGCCGGCCGACCGGGATCGAACCGGTGCTGCAGAGGCTGCAGACAGCTTCACAGCAAGGCGCTCAACCGCCTGCGCCACCAGGGGAGGCCCTACTTTAGAAAATTTCAACATGTATACTTATGATTCAAAGTCTAGAGTTAATAACTTTGTCCTCTTTTCAAACCACACAAAAAATATTGACTACGTTAGTAACTTCCTGCTTGCTCTATTGCTAATGTTGGAATTTTTAACCCAAAGACATTACTATTAGGTACACTCAGCATTTAAATTACCCTGTAATACTTCTTTCACTCTCATGCTTTATTATATCTCACATTCTTCATGGGATATTTTCGTCAAAAACTTTTTTTGTAATGAAAGGCGATATAGCATAGTGTCAAGAACACAACTTCTAGGGCCTCCCTGGTGGCGCAGCGGGATGAGCACCATGCTGTGAGGCTGTCCACAGCCTCGGCAGTGCGGGTTCGATCCTGGCTGGCTGGGGAGAATCCCACATGGTGCCTCAGACCTCTCCTGTCTTGCCTGCTGCTCCCCTCAGCAGTGTATTTCAGTCAGTCTGCCTGTTCTGTTCCCCACTCTGTCTCTGGTGAATCCTCTCACCCTCCTGCATCTCTGGCCTGTACCCCAGCTCTTGTATAAAAATAAATAAATCTTTTAAAAAAAAACACGACTACCAGTCCCAAAGAACTTTGTTTTTTAGACTTTTTAATTTTTGCTTTACAAGTAGAGACACTGAGGCAGAGGATACCCAGTAACATGCCCAGCATCATATCAAGTAAGTGCAGAGGCAGGGTTTGAATCTTCTAAGCTCTTCTGTTTAAACAACCCCATCTCCTCGGCTGTAGAGGCCTTCCAGTAGCCCCTGGTCTAAGAGAGCTGCTGCCGCACAGAAGGTCAAAGTCTTTCCTCACTGCCAGCAAATATACTTGCAGGTTCAAACTCCTCTGTATCTCTAGGCTCGTGAAATTCATAAATAACTCTTCTGCAAAGATTAACTTTATAAGAAAATCACAGGCAATTTTGCAAGGCACCGTGATGAGCCAGGATCTGTGGCGGTGGATAGGAGCATGAAACACCACACACACCACACGAGCAAGCTGAAGGAAGTTTATTTATTTATTTATTTATTTAAAGATTATTTAAATACAAAAGCTGGGGTGCAGCCCAGAGATGCAGGGCGTGAGAGGATTCACCAGAGACAGAGTGGGGAACAGAACAGGCAGATCTAATGAAATACACTGCTGAGGGGAGCAGCTGGTGAGACAGAAGAGATCTGCTGTGCCATGTGAGTAGCTCCCTGGTCGGGGATTGAACTCAGGCTGCAGTGGCTGCCAAAAGCTTCATAGTGCTGCATCTTAACCCCCTGGGCCTGGAAGTTTATTTTAAAAAACAGGCCAGCTTCTGCCAGCAGTCAGCAGGCCTGAGGAGATCAGGACAGATAAAGAAGAACAGCTCCTGCATCGGAGGGGTCCCCCAAAGGGTTGCCACTGGGTGAATGCAGCCAGGTATTTTATAGCAGTGCTCATGTTTTGGGTCTAGGGGAGTGCAGTTCTTGATTGGTTGCTTGGGACTTATGTTCTAATATAGGCAAACTGGTGACTTTTTAACACAGCACTTCAATATCTATTAATAAATTTTTCCTCCTGTTATGTCTCCTGGAGTCCCAAGTTCCTATCTTCCTGTCAAGGTCTAACTCCTCAGTTTGAATTTCAGCCTTATATAAGTTTGTAAAATCTATCCCTCCTGTTCCTTGTATATCTGTTATCTTGCTATAAATAATTGAAACTGCCCAGCAAAATTTACAGGCCAGAACCCCTTCCATATATATCCAGTTCTGTGCCAGGCCTCTCTCTACCTCCTGGGCACATTGAGAGCAAACTCCTGCTTCTAAATAAAGCAAATCATTGAATTTCCCCCAATATAAAATCATTTAGGTGTTGGAAAGCCTCAGGCGAGATTATATGATGGAACTGTTAAATCCGGGATAGATTTTGAAACCACCTCTGGTGGAGAGGGCGCTTTCAGAAGTCTAGTTAACACAGAACAGTCTTCTAGGTCTTCCAGGTTTTCTACCATCTCGATGAGTCTTTCTACTGTGTCTGGGGACAGTATCCTGGAGGCATTGGCTCTGAACTTCCTCTGTAGGTCCTCCTGACTCAGTGGCTTCCTCCAGTGACCGTAGAAGGTATCAGAGCGCTCCTTGAAGGTGACCCCATCATTGAGGGTGACACTTATCTCACAGTACAGTGTGTTGAAGTTCGGCAGGTTGTCCTGAGGGTGCTCCAGCTCCACCTTACTGAGTAGCTCTCTCACCTGTGGCCTGTTGATCTGACATTCATGAAACGATGGGACACTGATGCCACCATCAAGCAGGGCAGCACAGGCCACATACTGAAAGGAGTGACGGGCTTCATGCTCTGAGTCAGGGAAAGGCCTATTGACATACGGGACATCTGGAATTCGGAGCACAATTCTCTCAATGTGGTCAATGGAAAGCAGGGCTCTGCCTGATACAAGGTGCTTCCTCATAGACGCAGCTGCATCTGCCACCCAGTGGGTGATCAGATGTGCAGGGAACCGCTTGAAGGCCACGTCCTGCTGGTCCAGCAGCCAGGTATGGGAATCTAAGTTTGGAAGGACTTTAGGGGAATAGTTTGCATAGAAGGCCCCAAACCCTGTCTCCATGTCTAGGACCTGCTTGTTTCCTTGGAGACCCAGCATTGCCAGAAAAGCAGCTTCTAAGCCATGTCTGGCTGCATTGCCAATATGAAGAGGCTTGGTCTGAGTGGCGGCATTTGCCATGGGTGCCCCAGCAAGAGAAACAGCAATAGCAAGAGCTTCTTGGCACTTTGTCCTGCTGAGTCCTAAAAACTTGGATGCAGCAGCAGCACTACCCAAAGTTCCTACTACTGAGGGGGGATGAAATCTGAAAAACAAAAAGGCAAAGAGTCAGCAAGTTATAAATCTCAACTATCAGGAGGCAGTGAACTGTAGTAGTCAGGACTGTAGAAAATGGAGCCAAAGGATCAAATTTCACCTCTTCCACTTTTTAACTATATGATCTTGGGAAAGTTATTCAACTTTTCTGTTCCTCTTTTCTCTTACATAAAAGAGTTATGAAATAGTATTTACGTCATAGGATTTTGTGACTTTTGAAAAAATTCACTTGCTTGTAATAGTGCCTGACAGTAAATTCTTTATAGATGATTTTGTATATAAATTACTACCAGAAAAGCAAAAGTTGTTGATTGCTAAGAGCCCAGCTATAAAAATCGAGGGCCTTGCAGATTGTAATGTTCACTCAGTATTCCAATTTAGTCCTCTCCTAGCAGGCTGGACTGAGTGACAAAGTAAATATTAGATTGAACCACATGATAAAGCCACCACTTGACCATTTTTGATCTGTGGGTTGAACAGTCAGGTTTAGGATTTTCTAAATGTTCTCATTAGCTGAAGGACCATAACAAATTTCAAAATAAATTCTACTTTGAGATGTGGTCAGGGATATTCCGAGCGCCCACAGAAGTCCGAGGATGAGTCACCCTGAGAAGAGTGACCCCCATTTATTTCATGGTTCTACTTGCTTGACTGGCTCTCCAAACCCAAAGGAGATTTTTCATTAGCACTTCTGAATTCACACCATTGTCGATGAGTTATAAGGTTTGATTTGTGAATAGTGAATTAACTTATCTTCCAGCACTACTGTTACTACTATCTTCCAACTAAGCCACTTTCTATACCAAAAAAGCTCTACAGAGATCACAATTGACAGATGAAGGGAATTAGTTGCCTCTCAATGAGGAAAATCCTCTCCATACCTCTTTGGTATGTTATTGGCTTCTTTGGAGAAATGCATTAATCGGCCTTGTACTTCAATACCAACATTGAAAGCCAGCAGAAGGTCCAAGCCAGAAAACTTTGGACTTGAAGGCAGGTCTTCTGATAAAGCAATGAGGACAGGAAGGACAGCTCCAGAAGGGTGGGTGGGAGGGTGCCACGTGTCGTCAAAATCCATTGAGTGAATCTGTGGACACACAAACAACCAAACCCAACATGTATTTCCCTGAATGCAATGGTTTTTGAATCAGTAAAAGTTTAGATTACTAATAACCCGGTAAGATTTTTGGATTTTTGGATCTGATTCCTTAAAATAAAAGCTATAAACTGCCTGACTCTTAATCACATGACTGGGCTCTCTTCTGCCCTCAATAGGAAGGACCTTGGACAGCAGCTAATGAGCCTCAAAAGGCACTTGAACCATGAAAAAGAATAACTATAATAAAGAAAAAATCAAAATCAACAAGCATACATACATTGTGCATAAATGAAAAATGATGTAAAAAATATATAAAATAAAAAAAGGCACGTGGACCCTACCCAGGTGTCCAGTGCTGACTGCCACAGCACCTGGAAATCAATAGCCACTTAAAAAGAAAGTTGTGGAATTGGGTGTCTGCTCCTCCCTCACCCTCCATATCATATATTTCTGTACATTTTTATTATGAAATAATATCAAATTTTTGGAAAAGTTGCAGACTCTTAAGCCTTGATAAGCGATATTTTAAAATCATAATTTTTCTGCTATAGGGTTTCATTCTGCTTCATCCTAGCCATTTGCTATTACTTTATATTAAATAGTCATAAACAGAAGTTCATTTAAAAATAGATTTTTCTGTTAGATGTGGCTGGCTCATTTCCCATGGCTTACTGGACAGCTACTTCTCTATGCTCGTGGGGTTCAGCTTTAAATATTCAAGCTGTTGTCCCAATAGACCAAAGAGATATCTCAGAAATCCCAATGTATTCCTGTCCAAATTACCTTTTGTAGATTGCCCAGCATACACACAAAGTGTTTCTCATCTGAGAAACAATTTTTAATTTGGGAAAAAATAGACACTGTATTGGTTCTCTGTAAATATCTGTTGAATGACCGAAAAAATGATGAAACTGGCACTGGGCACAGCAAAGGACTTGAGAAGGAATTTAGTTTCGATATTGAGCTTAATATTTTTTTGTTATATACATTCAGAGTTTAGAGTTGAGACACCTTCCATCTTATTTCCTCTGCTTCACAATTTCTTTAAAAAGACCAATTCACTGTAAAAACAAGGAAAGTAAAATTACTATCTAAAAGAAAGGGCAGTCCGTTTCATCTCTCTAAACATCAGTGATCTCAGCAGTAAAATGTAGAGATTGTGTGATTTCTGAGATATTTCCTGACTCTGAAATGGTTATGATTGTCTAACAGTTGAAAAGACTTGAAAACCTCCTTACAGCCACACCGTTAACAAAGGCAGCATATGTTGGTGGGAGCCTGAGGTCTGACTGGCCCCAAACAGTGCTGGACATTCTGGAACTGTAGATCTGAAACAAAAGAGTATTGATCAGTGATACAGGGTGTGAACACAACATGCCAGTTCACCACTCCAAGAGATGGTCTTCATCTGTGGAGGCATTACTTTATATAAACCTTTGTGCTAGATTGAAGCCCAAACCATTGGATTCCTTTCTTCCTTACAAAACAGTACACAACTTTCTCCATAAAAGGGAAAAGAGGCATTGTTATTTAATCCCATATCATGATCCAGATGTGCTTTGGGGAATGGAGTCTGAATTTACTCTTATGTACTCCTTCAGGATAAATCCTGGGGAAGACTTGCTGTCAATACTGATCCCTTCCTTTGGAGTATGAAGCTCCATCTTCTATGTCCACACCCATCCTCTACTCGAGGACTGATCTAGCCATTTCTCCACAGCATCTTAAGGATTCTTTGGTAGTAGTAGGTGCTACTACCTCTAAGACTCTCAGGTAAAAATGTGCTTTCAGTCATAAAATAATAAAAAACTCTGAGGCATTACTACTCTTACGATTAGTCTTGAGACTGGTTTTGATACAGTGACTTAGTACAGGGTATGGATGAATATTAAAATACAAACAATAAAGCATAGAAAAGCATAAACCAATATCAAAAATGCTATATACACCAAGCACGGTCTCTAAAAAGGAGGGTAGAGTACTTGAACATGAACACACATCTCTGGGAGGTGGGGGGAGAGCACCTCATTAAGCAGACAGATGTGTGCACTTGGTTTTATCTCTAAAGTAGACATTGAACTTCTTACTTTACTATATTCGCTGACTTTGTGAAACACTTCTGTGGTGGATCCCAGGATCCCAACACCCAGAGCATCCAGAATCATCCTCTTGCTCCTTCGGAGAACGTGATCAGTCAGGTGTTCCACTTTCAGGCCATGGATCACTTTGGCAAAGCTTTCTGTGACAGACTTTAAAAGAAAAATTGTTAGGACCATGCCACATTCATTTATAGTTCTACACTTCTTTTCTTTTTTTTAAAAAAAATATTTATTCATTTTTATACAAAAGCTGGGGAGAGGCGTGGGAGGGTGAGAGGATTCACCAGAGACAGAGTGGGGAACAGAACAGGCAGACTGACTGAAACACACTGCTGAGGGGAGCAGCGGATGCGACAGGAGAGCTCTGCTGTGCCATGTGGGATTCTCGCTGGCCGGTGGGTATTGAACCCACACTGCAGAGGTTGCGTACAGCTTCACAGCACTTCTCTCAACCCTCTGCACCACCGGGGAGGCCCTACACTTCTTTTTTATATGAGAACTCTAGGTACTTTGATGTAGAGTTTTCCTTCATTAGAGGATACTCAGTTGACCTAGTTAAGTTCAATTTCTTAAAACTGAAGAGTACTGGGACTTGCTCCATGTGATGCAGAGCATGTGGAAATGCACAGTAGCCAGTTTCAAACAGATGATGACCACAGAGTATGTGGGCTACAGTGGAGAGAAGCACAAGATGAGAGAAGGAAGATGCTGGGACGCCTCCTCCATTAGGTGGGCCTGCCTGGGTGTGGGGTGCATTCAAACAGCTAGCAGCTGCCCTGCTATCATTAGCTTCATGCCCCTTGTGTATTGTGCTGAATGTTTTGTATATATGTATGTGTGTGTGTGTGTGTGTGTGTGTACATAAGATGTGTGTGTGTACATAAGGCTCTCATAAGATGAGATGTCAGAACAGTTTTTGTGGGATAATATACTGCCATTCTCTCAGATTGCTGGCTTTCTTTCAAAAAAAAGTGCACCTTATAGATTCAATTCCTGTCTCTATTTATTTGCTTTGCCAATGACAGGCAGCCTGACCCTGGCATTTTTGGCAACAGTTGGGTCCCTTGTTGTAACCAGAATTGTCTCTTTTCAAGCTCTGTTCCCACCCCCACCATCCTACAGTTGAAGGAACTTGGTGACTGATTGTCCATCTTTCCAGGGTTAGAGCTGACCTGGAGGTGACTTGTGGGGAAGTGGGTTTATCTGGGGACATGTGTTGGCAGGACACCAACAGAGAGCCTGGGAAGTGATTGAGGCAGTGGCATCCATCTACTGCACCCCATGGTGCTAGTGGCTCATGGCAGTAGGACCCTGTGGGGACCCCTTGAGAAGTCCTAAACACCACCTTCATGCCAAAGAGCGAATGGCCTCTTTCAGGCCCAGTGGAAGGGAATGTAAGGAAATTGCACATGTGGCCGCTCAGCTGGCTGGTCTTATATATCCATCTATTTCTAAGACATCTTTTTCAGTCTTCTTAACTTTCTCATGGTATTGATAGGTCTTTTTTAGTACAAAACTGTGATTAATGTATAAACTAAGGCAAACTATGCAGTCATTTAATAAATAATGTCATTTCACAAGTTCTTATCCAAGTGTGACATTGTGCTAATCTGTCTCGAATATCAAACCAAAATGTTATGGTTCCTGTTGAAAAAAAATAACCTTATATTCTGCAGGCAACTAAAACGAGTAAGCAGATTATTAGAAATGCTATCTGGTAATGCCATAAAGGACATACCCAATACTGAGAGGTTAAAAATTCAACGAACTTAAAATGAATTATTTTCTTCCTAATATTATACAACAAAATCAAGTCTCTTATTGGTGAAACATGGATGAAAAACAAGATGCAGTTAATTAGATTGTCCCGAGGATATGAGAAATGTTTAAATTCTAGTTTTGAAGTAGAAGCAAGCAGCTTTTAGAAGGAGGGGGCAACTGAGGCAATTGAGGAAAAAAGAGATAAGCTAGAAAGCCAATTTAAATTAACCACAGAAGATGGCACAATACCTTGAGCATCTTGCTGTTCTCGAGACGGTTTATCTCAGGAGTGAAGTGGAGATTTGCTATTGGGTGCCTTTATACATTTCATTACTCTCCATTCACTTTCACTTTTTTCTAGTTCTGAAATTTCCACTATTTCAACAATTCCCAACTAAACCTACTTCAACTTCCTCTTTAACGAATTGGACAACTTACCATCAGATGAAGAATTAACTTAAGCCTGGGAAGTACAGTACTGATGATTATATGACTTAGGAAACTATGCATGCTCTTTTATCTAGGTATTCCACTTCAAAAATTTGTCCTAACCAAATAGGCAGGGATTTATGGGAAAAAATTAGCAAAAAGCCAAAACATGAAATGCATAGACTTGCTTATAAAACTTAGAATTAGAAACTAGCAAATGCCCCCCAAATAGTAAGTTAGTTAATTAAAATATGGCTTGTGCAGTATTTAAAACACATTTCATTTTAACTTTTCATTGTCTACCGACAAATGTGACACCCTGAGTTTATGGTAAATGAGATTGAGCGCCTAATGCCTAAGAGCATTAAAAGTTAGTCACATTTCGCCCCAGCTTGCTCCTTCCTGAACTACATTCCCCATATATGCCTCCTGGTCTTGGTGCTCTGTCTGTCTTCTGGAACATACTGCCCACTTCTCTCCCTTCTATTTTCTATTACCCAAGTTGACTTCAGCATAGCTTATGTGAGTCTTTCTGCTTATAATCAACCACTGTGGATTGGCTTGTCTGGACCTAGCTCTGCTCTCCTGGGCAACTACATTGTCTTTGGGCTGTTCAGTCCTGGCCAATGGGTTTGTACCTATAGTGTGTACAAAATATTCAACACATACTATATTTGAAGTCCAAGCTTGCTGTTCCAGACATAATGGCAGAATTCGTCTTTGGGAAAGGTTGCACTTCAAGTTTGGAGGAAATCTCAAGTCACATAGTTCTACCCCACCCTTGTTACAAAAGGGAGAGTTTTAGACAAAGAGGAACTAAACTGCTCTTCACAAAAATGCAAAAAGATATCTTTCTTGTCAGTAGACGGCTATCTCTGGGAGAAGACTTGAAGTCATTTTCCTTCTCTTATGTAGAACTTGTGGTAAAAGTGTTGAGTCTCTGAAAACAGCTCAGAGCAAGGTCCATGCTCTGAAAGGCCTTGGCTATGGGTCAGAGATAGGTAAGGGAGGGTGATCAGTAGAGAGCCCCAATGGAAGGACACAGGTAGACAGATGCAGGAGCATTGAAGTGGAATATCTCATTTGGAGTTTTTCTGCACAATATAATAATTCTCTTATGTCATTCTCAGAAAAGTTTATTACATTCTATAATCTAGTGTGAGTCTTACTTTGGGAAATGAAGGCAGGGATGGTTGTTGTGCATGGAGGGGTGGAGAAATAAGCTCAAGTTACTAGTCAGAGGGTGAAGTGACAATGTGGGGACTATTAGGTGCATTTTGGTTATTCTAAATGGTTAAGGAACAGTCAAAGTAATGTGGATATGGTTGTACCTTCTTGATGGCAAAGTGATGAGCAACTCCAAAGGATGAACACTAGGGGACAGTTGGATGCTAATGGGCTTCCCAACCAATGTCCAGACTAGGAAAATCCTGAGCTAGGATCAGTATTGACAAACATGGTGGTTGTGTGCAACAGGGTACCATTGTTAGTACATTAGCCAGGAGTATCCGGGGATCCCAAACTTAAGGGGTACAGACTTTAAAACAGGGTCTATCCACCCACTATAGAAAGGCAAATGAAACAGACTCTTAATGTGAAAGCTTTTTAAAACATGTAACGTGCATAAAGAAAGAAGAAAGGATACTCCCAATAAATCTGAAAATTAACCATCCTCTCATGGGCAAATACCTAGCCAAACAGGGTCACTGAAGTAGGGCCACTGAGGCCCCAAAACTTGTCACAGTCTGAAGTAACTTCTGGCAGGTAACAGCAAAAAAGGGGTAAGGCAGATCTTGGGTGAAAGGAGCAAAAGAAATATAACATCAAGATAATAGTTGCCACTGTCACTTCCAAGGAGAGCCTTCCCATGTGGCTCTTTTAGGTGTCTCAACATGTCTCTCCTCCACTCATCTCCTCCATTCCTCTTCTCCAACCCCCTGGGTACAAGTCAAAGTCAGAAAAACAAAAGCCCCGGAGTCCACCTGCCTTCCATTTTATATAGCTTCACCTGGCCACTCTGCTCTGCCCCTAGTTCCCAGTAACTCCCCAACTCAGAAAGTCCAGTTCATGGCGCACTGGGACCTGTAATCCAAGGCAGCTGCAGGGAACTGGGGGCAGAGAAAATGGCATCTCGCCTTCATGGAGGTATAACACTATCTCAGACAATCATTATTTTATATCAGTGGACTTCAATGCCAACTTCCATTGGAAAGATGGCTCCTTGTATCCAAAGAATAAAATGGTTATTTGAGGATGAGAGGGGTATAAGATGGGTATTTTGGGTACATTTGGATAAATTCCAGCAAGTACAAATACTTATGTTGTAGGTTTTTGTGATTTATTGCTGGGTAGTCCACCTAAATTGATGTTAAGAATAATCTCATTGAGTGGAAAGGAAAAACAAGTTTGAAAAACACATAGTCTGATCCTGATCCTAAGCATTATCCCAGTTGGGAGTTTGGAGTCTTCAGCTTAAATATTCATTTAGAGATTCCCAAACCACTTTTACATGAACATGAATTACGGGCTATGCTGACCGCCACCCTTTCACTGTGGAAAAGTTAAAGGTGTGATGACCTTTATTAAGTCTGATGAACTTTACTGGAAGTACTGTGATTCAGCTTCTTTGGGCTCAAGTTTTGCCACCACTGAGTTGAGAAAAAGAGTTAGTTCAATTATTTTCTCATTTAATTGCTTTGTGCTTTTACAGAGCTATGACCAATTGAGAGACTAAGACCCTCTGTAATTAGAATCACTTTCTAACTGTCCAGAGGTTTAAATGATTAATTATATGTTCATGGCACCTCTCCAGTCAAAAACAATTGATCACTTCCGGGTGCCTTTTGCTCTTTAGCTCTAAGTAGAAGCCAGAATGATTGTTTTTATTTTTTTAATTTAATTTAATTTTTTTATGGTTGCCCTGTGTATTTATTTTTTTAATTTTTTTTAAAATAAATTTTATTTTTATATTCCCCATACAATTAAAA